TCTTTCCATTCAATTAAAATTTTCTTTTGTTAAAAAGAATAATAATGCTAACTACCAAAGTTAATACCGGAAACATTTGGAACATTATAATTGTGCTTTTTTTTTGGTAATAAAAGAGAATGAAAAAAAAACTGTTTTTAAGATCTTACATATTTCAAACAAATAGATCTCATTGTTTACTGATGTCAGCACTGTTGTTGCCATCCTGAATTTTTTTGTATTGCTTGTTGAAATTCCGCATCTATGTTTGAATACTGCGCTCCTTTCTAGATTGGTCTTCAAAAACAAATCTTGATACTAACTTTGTACTTCAAAAATTACTCTTTTGAAAAAAAAAAGAAAAATATTGCTAGGCTTAGAAGTCATCAACACAGTATAACAAAGTTTGACATAATTTTTAAAACTGTCGGATCATATGTTACTTACTCGATGCCATTAGGTTGACGCATAGCTAAAGTTGAAAAATTAGTATGACATCCAGCACCATTCCAATCACCTGGAACAGGTTTTGGATCAAAACTAATTTGTACACCAAACTCCTCAGCAATACGTAATAATAAATAACGTGATGTCCAAAGTTGATCACCAGCATCAACACCTTCACATGGACCAATTTGATATTCCCATTGAGCTGGCATTACTTCAGCATTAGTACCACTAATACTAATACCGGCATATAGACATGCTTTGTAATGTGCTTCTACAATATCACGACCGAGTGCTTGACTTGCGCCAACACCACAATAATAGGATCCTTAAAAAAAAAAAGTATGAAAACGAAATAAATGATATCTATTACATCTATGCGTTTCTTTTTTCTATACTAACCTTGTGGAGATGGAAATCCATCTTTTGGCCATCCAAATGGCCAACCATCACGATCTAAAAGTGTATATTCTTGTTCAAGACCAAACCATGGATGTTGATCATATGCTGCTTTCATTGCTTCAGCACATTTGAATCGTTTGTTTGTAGCTTGAGAAAAAAAAAACATCCGATTGAAAATGTTCTATGCTAATGTTTTATTTCTTACCGGTTGGTTCGTTAATGTATTTGTATGCTTCACACATAACTAATATATTTTGACCAAGCATAAATGGATCTTTAAACATAGCTATTGGTTTAAGATAGATGTCTGAATCTGAATCTTCAGCTTCTCCGGTTGATGAACCAGCGTAGTGCCACAAAGGTATTTCTTCTGATGACTTTGGTACTTTATCAAGTGTTCGAGTTTTAGCTAAGTAATAGAAAAGAACAAGGTTAATTAAACCAAAGGATAATGTTAATCTATGATAATCTATTACCTCGAAGATTTTCTCCAGTACCATCAATCCAAATGTAGGTAGCTATTATTTTAGTGTCTGGCTGTGGTAATGACAAATATCGAGTAAGAGTAGCTTTGTTCATACTTGTCACACTTCCTCTTCTGAATTCCATCACTTTGATTTTATATATATATATATATATATGTTATTTCGATCTGAAAACAAAAAAATCTAATGATAACCATCATATCGAACAGTATTTTTTATTTTCTTTACAAATATTTTCATAGATCTTACTCTACTGATTAAGAAAAAAAAATGTTTTTCAACATTTGTAAATCGTTTTTTAAGATCGGAAAAAACACTGTTTTTATTGTTTGTGAAATTTATTATATTGATCATATTCGTATGTTTTTGTAAGTCTATCTCGTTCTTTTGTGTAACTAATGACTCGATATGTTTTATATTGGTTAATTCATTGTCCTACAAGTCATAAAAGTATACTTCGGCTGTTTTTTTTTCCTTTACCGAGGAAAAACACCTAGAATGTTGTCTATATTTTTTTTTGATTTTTAAACTTATCTGATTTCCATTAACTTCAGTTTTCTTCGAATTTTTACACTAACTGAAATTTTCTGTAAAGAAGATGAGAGGTTCAGTTTTCATGCTGATTTCGAATCTGATTATTGTAACTGAAGAACACATACTTTTAATAATGGAAGCGAGAAATACGCGCAGATTTTAAATCATTTTTTGTTAAGTGTGAAAAATCGATGCACATACAGTATGTAAAAAAATTATTTGGGCACCTATCTTAGCTATCTTATAAATAGAATTTCATCGTGAAGGAAAAATATTTTCTTGACTTTCTTGATATCATTCGATAGCTCGAAATCTCTACTTCATTGTCCAAGCAAAAAAATTAAAAACAACGAAATTCTCATAAGTTTTTGAGAGTTTTCAGGAAATCACTTGATTTCCCAGCCAAAAAAATTATTTTGACGCTTACGGTTTTTTCTCGATAATTCCTCTATTTTTCGTCAAAACCTATTCAATTATATCTCATTTGATAGAGAAAACATTTCCCTACATGTTGGTATGGCTTACAATTGAAAAAATATAGGTGAAATCTCAAAATCCTTCTAATACCTGAAGCACTATAGGTTCTACAGAAAAGCTTAGGATTTCAGTCTGGAGAAAGTCAAAAGTCAACTCAAAATATATCATTCGATAGAGAAAAAAAACTGAATCGAATGGTATCTCTTATTTTTAGAAGTGGGGATAAAAATCAGGTGTTAATTACTAATTATAATTAGTTTTTTTGCATAGACCTTCCATTAATCTCAATTTTTCATAAAAAAAATTACATTGAATATTTTTTTGAAAAATACAGTCTTGTAGTGAATTAAATTTTCTACAAAATAATGTACTTGATTACACCATTCCTATTTTCCTTAAGCTGGCTAAGACCTTATCTTTTCAAGTGCATAACTGATGCAGAAAGAAAAAAAACATTTTTCTCGTTCTGTCGCAAACTGACTGTACATCCAGTTAGACAGAGAGAACGAGAAAAATGTTTTTTTTCTTTCTGCATCAGTTATGCACTTGAAAAGATAAGGTCTTAGCCAGCTTAAGGAAAATAGGAATGGTGTAATCAAGTACATTATTTTGTAGAAAATTTAATTCACTACAAGACTGTATTTTTCAAAAAAATATTCAATGTAATTTTTTTTATGAAAAATTGAGATTAATGGAAGGTCTATGCAAAAAAACTAATTATAATTAGTAATTAACATCTGATTTTTATCCCCACTTCTAAGAATAAAATATATCATTCGATTCAGTTCTTTTTTCTCTATCGAATGATATATTTTGAGTTGACTTTTGACTTTCTCCAGACTGAAATCCTAAGATTTTCTGTGAAATCTCTAGTGCTTCAGGTATTAGAAGGATTTTGAGATTTCACCTATATTTTTTCAATTGTAAACCATACCAACATGCAGAGAAATGTTTTCTCTATCAGGTGAGGTATAATTGAATAGGTTTTGACGAAAAATAGAGGAATTATCGAGAAAAAACTGTACGTGTCAAAATAATTTTTTTGGCTGGGAAATCAAGTGATTTCCTGAAAACTCTCAAAAACTTATGAGAATTTCGTTGTTTTTAATTTTTTTGCGTGGAAAATGAAGTAGAGATTTCGAGCTATCGAATGATATCAAGAAAGTCAAGAAAATATTCTTCCTTCACGATGAAATTCTATTTATAAGATAGCTAAGATAGGTGTCCAAATAACTTTTTTACATACTGTATATAAGAAACTAGGTTTTATTAATGAGCAACTCAATCTCTATCGAACTATGTGCAACAAGATACTACTTTACTTGTATTTTGCCTCACAAACACTCTAGATAAGAAAAGAATACTATGAGAATATTATTTCTTACTACTTTGCTAGCTTTTATCCTTATATATTTCTTTAGTTCTATCGTTGCCGTGAACAGATAATATTATTATTTGATACTGACTTGTTTTTTTTTCTCTTTCTCTGCCGTGCCTGTAGTTTGTGTTTGTGTTTTTTGTCCTTAACGGACATCTATGTTTCTTAGTAATAAAATAAAAGAAGAGAAAACTAAAAGAAACAAATAGTAACAAAAGCGTAATTTGTATACTGTAAAGGGTAAGAAAATAATTAAAATAAATAAATATTGAACATTTTTTAATAATAATTTATGAACTATTCTGAAATGAAAATATAGAGAATTTGATAACATCAAGTAAAAAAGTATTTTCTCTCAATACGAAGAAAAAATACTAAGGACATGGAATAACATAAAAAAGAGCTCGACAACAAATTCAACTTATGACAGTTATACTACAAAAAAGATATTATGGGTGTGAGTGGGTGTGTGGAGTGTGAGTGTGGGTGTAGTGTAAGTAAAGAACATCCACACCCACACCCTCCTTCAATCGGCAGTCATTTGCTATGGTATGTGTGTAAATTTCTTATTGCCTCTACAAATGAACTAATAACCATAGTTATCCAATACTACGTGAACAGCCACTGGGAACACTTCATCAACTGTACTTTCACATAATCATTTTTAATTGAAAAACGTTGTTTTGCATCATTTTCTAATCGAATGGTCTTGTGCAAAATCAGTCTGTTAGAGAAGGACAAAACTATCAACTACCTCCATTAAATTAATTATTACTTGAAAGTACTTGATAGACGAAAATCGTAAGAAAAGATCAGTATCTGGTGTAAGCTATTCGCAATCATTGTATCAATATCTTTAACAAGATCATGAGTTCGATCAAAAAAAATAGAAGTTCAAATTCAACATTTAATGTGCTGTCCGCAAAAATTTTTCTGACATTTTTTAAATATCATTTCAATTATAAAAGATAAAATAACGTCATAGAAGTAGATTGATTTTCTAGTAAACAAAGATAAAGAGAGTTTTATGGTGAAAATTGTACAATAGTCGATGAAGGTATTATAGAGTTTCTGGTATAGTCTGATGTTTTACTTGAGTGCTTTATCATATTGATTTTCTTTTTCAATGAGAATTCCTTTCGATGTAGTAGATTAAATAAATTATCTTTCATGATAAATCGTTTCGACCATATAAATAATAATAATGATAGAAAAGTAATTAATGCAAAAATTAAAAATAATCCACTCATTGAATTAATTTCCATGGAAACTGATATTCCATTTAAATTAGGACAATTTCATTTTTGAAACCATTTTTGTCTTAAATAGTCAAGTTGACCTGACTCGCTTAATAATAAAATATTAACATCTAAATCTTTAGTATATAACCATTCTTTCGGTGTAACAATTCCAAAAACTCCTTTTTCAAAATCATCTTCAACTAAAGTTAAATTACAATAAATATTATTAGTAATATATTCACTAACACCATTATCCATAAAAGATGCATCAATAATCCCAGCAAGTAAACTATCATATAAGTTTTGTTGAGATTTTAATGGATAATAATTTCGACTACCAAAATATATTTCTCTTAAATAATAACCTTCACTAGCTGTTTATTTCTGAAATAATATCTTTTGATTTTGATATTGTTAAATAAGATGCTAAATTTGCAGTATAGGTAACTACTAATATTAAACTTAACATATATAAACCAAAAGTTAATAAACATTCAGCAGCAGTATTAACATGAAAATCTACACCATATCCAAAAATATTACAAAAAGAATACCAAATACTCATTGTTAATTGAGATAATATTGATCGATTTTGAAATATTTCATTATCTTTTCTTTCTAGAAGACAAATTAATAAACCAGTATAGATACAAACACCTAAAACTAATAGTCAAAGATTGCGTGAAAATGCTTTTAAGAATGATAATAATTCAATAGTAACATCAGATGTTTTTCCCATTATTATACGTAACGAATTATCAAATATAGCATTAGAAAAATCAACTAATTCTCTTCGTGTAGCAATAACTGTAACATCACCAATAGCAATACCATAATCATCATTAACTACTACTTGAATTAATCCTGAATATGTTTGATTTGATGGTGCTAATTGAATTTTTGGAATAAATCCAATTTTATCAGCTAACAATTCAATAAGATCAGGTACATAACCAGTTAGTTTCGTTGTATTCTGTCCAGATTCATCAATAACATTTGTAACTATTGTAAATGGAATTGATTCAATAATACCAACTCTTATAGGTACATCTTTAAGTATTGCTCGACCAGTCGGAGGTATTAAGGAATTTCCTGGCCAAATAATAACATTTGTATTTTCAGATATTTTCCAATCAGGGGGTGGGTGTGGGTGTGGATGTGAATCTTTTCTTTAACAAGGACTCACATCCACGCCCTCTACATAATGCATCTTTCATTTGTATCGATGACTGTTAAAAACTTTTCATGTCGATGCGTCTTTTCTGTTGCTAAGTCAGAAGAATACGATGAATAGAAAATAATTTTGCTTTCATGTCACATTTTTGAATCAAAAGGACCGGAAATTACCAATCAAAATGGCTGAATTTTGTTATTAAATGATTCCTAACAAGATTCTACATCTAGCAGGCTATGAATTAACACAAACCAGGTATGGTCCAAGTTTCGTCTGTAGACGCCCTTGTCCGTATAGAGAAAGACAGTAAACTTGCTTGATGACATCATTGAAGTATTCTATGATACCGACAGAATGAAGTTCGAATCGAATGTCGTATAACTGCTATTGCCAATCGACAAGCTGTTCTTCACATTTGGCAAAAAATTTGTAATGTTGAAGATGTTCAATCGTTCTTACTTCTCAGTATGCCAGTTTCCAATTCCATGTTCGCAGTATTTTAGCTAAACATATCAACACTCGAAAAAATACATACCGCCGACGAACTAATTCAGCAATGACTTGATTTCGAAATAATGAAATGTATAATTTCTGGAATACCTGTCATAGAGAGCACCAGAATTCTGAAATTTTTATATTCTTGAAATTCTGTAGTGGTCGTCCTCGTGTCTCATTCTTTTAGTCATCTTACATTTTGTTCCATACATCCTATTTCATCTCATGTAACAGCTATTTAGATGCTCATGCATAGCAAAAGAAGATCCATGCCATGATACCAAATATAGCTCACAAAGTATTATGTGACAAAAATTACAGATGCCCTACATGTAAACAGTTTGGTAGCTACACTAGAAAATCATTGAAAAATTAATTAACGTTTGCTATCCATATGTGTAAAATTGTGCGCAAGCGTTTTAAAAAGTAAACTTTTTCTTATCACTTTACAAATTAGAATGGACATGGTGAGCTGCAAAAAAAAATGTCATACAGACGATTTTATTATATGCCTCTAGACAATTATTGAATCTTACGCTTTCTGAAATAATTTCCATATTTCTCGTTTCTTGAAGTGCTTTCTAGAAAAGTACGACTTCGTAATCTTTCGCTGAGTGCTTTGCCAGCGTAAAGCAACATGAAAATGAGGTGTGGGTGTAGGTATGGCTGTTAGGAAAAAGAAGACATATACCTACATCCATTCACAACCAATATCCACTCTCCACACTCACAGCCACATCCAAAGCCACATCCACCCCTACACACCCACACCCTTCATATGCATATACAACGATTTTCTTTTTTGAATGCTTAATTAATTCGACAAGTTATAATTCAAATCATTCATAACATGCTATTCATGGACATTTGTTTTCTTATTTGAAAATCTATTGAAATACAAACTGTTCTATTTTGTGCTACATCATGTATTCCAAATTCTTTGTTTTGAATCTTTTACAGGATTTTGTCCTTTAGAATATTTGAAATAGAGAACTTCATGCAAAGCAAATTAAGCCACCTATTAAGATCTGTGAGCAAGATCAAAATGAGTCATGGTAACTCTTGGAAATTCCTCGAATACTTGAATTTTTGTTGAATTTTATCTATAAACTCATCCCCTTCTATTGAATTTTCTTTATAAAGGCAGAAATTGTCCGAATAGTTATGTTTATTCATAAATTCATGTACAAATACATTCTGCCCATATCCAATCAGTCTCTTATGCAAAGACACAGCGTCCTATGATGCTTTCAATCTCTATCTATACGAATTTCCTTGAGAAAGGTCGAAACCTAAGTCACAGTGTTCTTAAACATAATATTCACGCTCACTCCCTTCCTTTGAATTATTGCTGTTGCATAAGAGGAACTGCGAAAGCCAATATAACAATACATTATTACTCGATATATTTTAAGTTCATTACTTCCATTGAATCTTGAAATTGATTTATTTTTAAAAGAAATCAAAATAAAAAAATTACAATAATCTATTGTTAATCGGTATATGAATTCTTAAAGAAGAAAAATCCATTGTCACATTGTAGAATGAGCTTATTCAGTTTGAAATATATTCCGAAGATCTTCATTATTTAGGCATCTAGCATAAGATGATTGAGAAAAGAAAAAAATAAAAATTCATATACATACCCTTCTATAAATTGACGTTTGCTTATTTTCTGGGATGTATTGTTGAGACCAAACATAGTGAAGACCATAGCAGCAAGAGTTTTCCCATCAATATTCTTCCTTTTTTGGGGATCTGCCAGTATCAGCTTGTAAACAAGAGATCGGTATTCTTTTTAGCATTTCACGAAGAAAATAAGAGGACAAATCTTACCACTTTGGACATGAAATTGAGCATCTCGTCGAAACTAATATATCCATCGCCCGATACATCGATTCTATAGAGTTAAAGAATTCAACTCTCCATTCGATATGTATTGAAGAATTTGCGAATGCGGAAAACAATGATTTTCGGAAAAAATAAATCTGACTTAGCGAGAGAGAGCATTTTACTATTTAGAAAGTATTTGTTTCATTTCCATGGTATGATGACTTTTTCCATCAAAAAGGCTAGCTCTTCTAATCTATTATGATTGTGTCTAGACAGTGAAATATAAACTTACATATCGAACACTCGTTCAAGTCGCGTCTCTAGAGCTTTTTCCCGAAAAACGGTGATTCCTACTATGAATTCAGTAAAATCAATTGCACCATCTTCATTGATATCAAATATTGTGAACACTTTACTGGAATAAGCCAAAATAAAATGATGAAATATGAAAAAAACCAATAGCCTACTCGACTAAAACGCCATTCTGGTCGTGTTCTCCTAAGAGTTCTTCGTACATCCGAGTGAATTGATATTTGTTCATTTTGCTTGATGGATAGTCGCGTTTGAAGCGCTTGAGAGAAAGAGAAACAAAATAAGATTTATTAAAAGAAATTTTTTAAAGATATTATATTCCAGAAACCTGATAGAACGATCGTATTTCTAAATAAGACAAAGAAAGGTTTAGATTATATTCTCGTATCTCACTTTTACTAACCTTGTTCGCTAAGATTAGTGTTCGATTTGAGTATGGCAACATCTGACAAAAATTTGTTTCGTTATACTAATCACAATCAACAAACAAAATGACAAACCTCGATCACTAAGTCCTCCAGATGCTCGTGGCCTTGACTCTTCGGCACCCATGATTTTGATGATTACAGTTGTGCTTGTTTGAAGAAAACGATAATCTTAAGATAAAAACAAGTCAGAAATGAACAAATGATACTAGAGATACGACAATGAGGACTAGGCACGTGTGGGATCACGTTTTTTTCAGTTCCAGTTCTGGCCTGGTCCGGTCCCGGTAAATTTAATCTACTCTTGGTTCCAGTTCTAGTGCCTGTTACAATAATTTTACCGTTTTGAATAACAGTTCGGTAATCCTATCTGTGGTCGAAACTAAAAAAACTGCTTAAAACAAGAATGAGAGTGAAGATGAGGGATATTTTCACATGCATACACTTTCATTTTCAACATTTCTACCTTTTAACATTAATATTCTTTTTCTTTTCGACATTTTTAATTGCAAACAAAGTTAGAAAAATTATTGATCCTCGAACTTGGTTCTAGGAGTGATACTTTATCCATATTTTACCTTGAAAAGGTAAACTGTTGTACTTTTCTGGGTAAAGAAGAATTACAAAACAACATTTTTCTTATATAGATTAAAAAAGCAACAATTTTTTACTCTAACCAGTAAAATAAAGTTAACGAGGGAACATTCCCAACTATCACGCTGTTTTTGAGTCGAGCGTACGCGCATCACGTAGGCCCCAATGATCTATGAATATTCCGGAAAAAGTTCGTGCCGCTAGCTTATTACTGCCGAGATATTTCATTTTTACTGTACGTATAAGCAAAAAGCCGTGGTTCCCTCAGGAACACTAAGGAAACTGAGTTTCGAATTTCAATTTGAAACTTTGTACAGGGACGAGTCTCAATGAGAATAGTTTGTTGTGAAAGTTTCAGATCTTTTGATTGCTCCTAGTCTGAAATAAGAACATCAGAATCTGTTGGTGTATATAAGCTATTCTACCATAGCTGTATCTTAAGAAAGGAACAACGAAAAGATCTGAAATTTTCACAATAAACTATTCTCACTGAGGTGTATCTCTATGCAAAGTTTCAAGTCGAAATTCGAAACTTAGTTTTCTAGTGTTCCTGAGGGGACCACGGCTTTTTTTCTTAAACATACAGTAAAAATGAAATATCTCGGCAGTAATAAGCAAGACGCACAAACTTTTTTCAGAGTATTCATAAATAATTAGGGCCTACATGGTGCGCATACGCTCGACTCAAAAGCGATGTGACAGTTGGGAATGTTCCCTCGTCAGCAAGATAGTTGCCATGCGTGTGTATTATTTCGTTTATCCCCAGCGAGAAACATGCCCTATGTGCGTCTCTCTGCCATCATCATCAGTGAGAGAGATGCCCTATGTGTGTTTTCGTCCTCATCCACAGCACGAGAGCCGCCCTCACCATCAGCGAGAGGCACGCCCTCTGCGTGTCTTTTCACACTCATCCTCAACAAGAAACATATCTGTATGTCTTCTTGCCCGCACTCTCAGCGAGAGAGATATACCAAGTGTGCCTTTCCACGCTCATCCACTATCTTGAATATCTGCAATGTTTCCTAAATATCCTATACTCCCATACCTACTGCACCTGAACGTTGGTCAAGTATACTACGACTTGAATGAATTTCCAGAAAATCTAAAAAAGACACTACATGACGACGCCAAGTGGAAAAAGAGTTTTTCCGCTCGGGATGCAATCAGCAATTAGAAATTTTCTCCATTTTATGGTCTGGTTGAAATCATGTTACAGATATTGAAGAGAGGAGATGGTTATTATGAATTTTATGATTTTCATTGACTTTGAGGGCTTATAGCGAGTTTGGATTTATTCGCCTGAGTTGTTTCCTATTGACGTAGGCTGGACTTTGAAATCAGACAATGTACCAAGACAAGACCTATATCGTACATGATGTGCCTGCTTGAGTCCATTTTATAAAATCTAAAAGACAGAAACGTCAATGTTACATTATCTCATTCAATAACTGAATAAGCGAGCCAATGGAAAAGTATTATTTGGATATAAAATATAATCATTTCAATACAACAAAGAGAACATTAACTGGAATACTCTATGAACTAGAGTCAGAGCTGAAAATTCAACTTCGTTATTCAAGATGTTTCCATACATTATAGTATTCTGTCTTTCTATAGCACCCATAGCAAGAGAGATCCTCTATGTGTATCTATCCATGTAATCCTGAGCCAGAGAGACACGAGTGTCTGAAATCAATAACGGAGAACTAAATACGTCAATTTCAGGTTTACAGAGAAAACATATTTAATAATTCCATTCATCTTTCGCTTTTCATATATATGCAGACCCCCATTCTGTTTAAAAAAAAGTTATAGATAACAGCAATTGACCGTCAAGACCCATCATTTCATGTTGAAATGAAGTGCTTTTTTTTGCTTTGAACTCAGAAAGAATTCAAATAGACCATTGTATGGTTGATTGATGTGATTTATAAGATAATTGGCCTCGAGACATTAAAAATCAAGTTCAGTCTTTAATTTCGGTTAGGACCTCTTCTATTCTCATAGTTCCAGGTGTGGGTGTGGGTGTGAACATCAGTGAGAGAAAAATAAACTCACACTCGCACCCACATCCACACCTGCATAGAATAATAAAGAACTCGTAGAAACTATCGTTCAAATAATCCAAATTTATGAAATATGATTTCTCTCATACGAAAACTCTCAATTTATAAGTCCAACATATTGCAAGGTGCAATATATATATACGATAACATTTTTTACGGTAAAATATTTCATCTAACTATTACGACCAGTGTGAAAATAACACCTATCAAGCTTTTTCCATAAGTTTCATGGTTATTAAGAATTGTTTTAGTATTTTGTGAAGATTTTGAATTGTACAGAAACGGACGATATGTGCATAATAGAAACATGGAGACTTTCATCTAAACTGGTTTTTTACTCAGCTCAAGTCGTTACTATGAAAGTATGTTATCACACAATATAATGAAATATGTCTATCAAATGTATGATCGACTTTTGCCTGACTATGGGTGCCAAATATACTCATCAGTATGAGTTATTTTAAAGACTGTACGAATGGAGGATATCAGTTTCTCAACAACCGAAAGAATATTAAGAGCTTCATATGGTTTACTATCTTTGGATTTGGGGCCCAAAGCAAACGGTTTTTAGACAGAAAAGCACTATAAAGTCACAAAAAACTATTTGAAAAGAAGAAAATAAGAGTGCCGATAGATGAGCGCAAAAATGTAGAAAGGAGATAGTTTTTACAGAAAAAAAATCAGATTTCTTGTTAGATTTACAAGAAATAAATCTAAATTTTTCGGGATCCTTTATTCTAGAAATGAAATTTTTCTTCCCTTTGGTGTAAAAAATTGAGCTGAATTCAGAGCTCGCCTCAAGAATACTTTTTATGGCTCAAATCTGTTCGAGAATATAGTTGATACGTCAAATCTCATGTAAAGAAATTTGGCTTCCAAGAGTTTTTGCATCAAATAATTCAATTTCCTTCACAAGCTGCTCCTCACAGAAGTAAGAATTTGAACAAACGAACCCAAAAATGTCTCTTCTTGAGCGAATGTTATGCATAAAGAGAGCTCACTTTTCAATGGATAAACGGTTCACAAAAATAGCCTCGAACGCATTTTCGAGCAAGCTAAAACCTATTGAAGTACTAATTGGAAAACGAGATTTGATCCTTCGTCCTGCTGTTACGAAATGTAATTTTCAAACAAGTATCCGCATCGATATTTACTTAGTTAAATGCAAATGTAATTAAAAAATATAAATATTAATACAATTAACATATACTTCTGTATATTTTCTCATGAAGACTCCATTTGAATACAATAAACTCGAAATAGTGGTTTAGATCTTACTCACAAGCGTAAATTCTTTCGCGTTGAATTTCATACGTTGCAAAATTGTAATAAGAAAGTCAGAGTAAATGCTCACCTTATAAAACAGTGCATATATACTGCGAATTTACAATAATTTAACTTGTTCACGCCTTTATCGTCTCTCCTTTGATACACATTACAGCTAGATAGTACTCTTCAAAAAAGTGTTTTAGTTTCAAGAACGTTTGCTCTCTCTTATCTCTCTTTCACAACAGTTTCGGTGACAAGTGCGAGCTAGGCGATCGTAGAAAAAAACCCAAAGAAGATAAAATCTTACCTTTACAGCAACTAAGTTAGTAGATGGTCGTTTTTCGTTTTGGTATGGTTTAGGTGGCTCCAGGGTCTGGGTGTGGGCGTGGCTATGAAAGAATTAAAGATCCACACCCACACGCTCACCCTTTATCTTTGGAACTTCGAAGATTTTCAAAAAAACTGTCAAGACTAGATGACCAAAAAAAAAAAAAGCTTGAGGGTGAGGATGAGGTTCGAATAGAATATTTGGTTTTCTAAGGAATCCTAATGTTTTGGTAGCTAATACAGCTCGTTTCGACTCGGCTAAGAGTCTGATTAGATGGATCTGGATTAGGAATGCAACGGTGACGGTAACCGATGGACCGGTTGCCACTATAGACGGTAACCATTTCACCGGTTATCACTATACATCAATCACCGTTCCAGCTGTAAACATCACCATTCACCGATATCCTCCGGTATACACCGATATATAGTGGCACTAACCGTTATTCACCGTTGACCTCTGTATTAACCCGTGTATAGCGGTATACACCGGTATCCACCGGTATTTGCAAAGGGGAAATGGCGGATTGTGTACTCCCGGGATTCTTGTTGACCTCTCTGGATTCCCGTTGTACTCCCTGGATTCCAGAGATTGGGTATACATTTAACTAATCTAACTTTTACAAAATCATCGGTAGTTTAGAGGTACCCACATATCCTTAAGGGCTAAACTATGAGGGTACCCATACGTCCTCAAGGGCTATTATATAGAGGTGCCCTTAGGTCTTCATGTTCTACTATATGAAGATACCCTTGGGGGGCTTAAGTCCTATTGTATTATGGAGGTATCCTTGGATCCTCAAGAACTATTATATGCAGATACCCTTAGATCCTCAAGAACTAGTGTATGAAGGTACCTTTAGGCTCTCAA